CTTGCAGAGAATGGCAAAGGCAGTTCGGGCAAAAGAACTCGGGCTATCAACATTCGTTTCTTTTTTATTCATGACCAGATTGGAAAAGGCAACCTTAGAGTTGTGTACTGCCCAACCTTGGAGATGCGTGGAGATTTTTTCACGAAGCCCCTTCAGGGCAAGCTCTTCCACGAGCACAGGGCTTTCATCATGGGGCATCCACCCCTTGTTTGATTGCCTAATTTACTTTATTCGTTCCACGGTAGCCACTTAGGGCACCGTGCAGGAGTGTGTTGGAGGAAACATACCTGACACCTCTTTACTATTGACTCGTGTATTAATCATCTAGTCCGGTTCGCATGCAAATTCATCATGCAAGGAACCGAGGGAGTTTTAGGTCTAAAGTGTTACGGGGGTCCTTTTATCCAATTCAATCACAAGAATTGCTATGCACCACCAGAAAATCCTCACTTTTGCTTTTCAGCTTAATCTAAAACCAAATTACTCCCCAATAAGCTGCAGTATTACTAGCAAATAACACGTTGTTTCTTGTGCTGTGTTCGCTCCTTCTGCGTTTCGTTGTTCCGCTTTGAGTTTTAGGCAATCCGATTTCCTGTGCCCAATCTTTCCACAGTGGAAGCACTTTCCGCTGAACTTCTTCTTTCCTTGAAATCCGCTACTGCTCCCATTGTTCCTGTTGAATTTACCGTTTGTCTTTCCTTGGTACCTTTGTCCGTAGCTTCTTCCGTTCGAGCCTTTCTTGTCTGGGCAGTCTTGTTGCTTGTGTCCGATCTTCCCACAGTTCCTGCATCTGCCCTTGAACTGTTTTCCTCCAATCATGAAAGCTGTTTCGCCATTGTGGTCTGTCGACTTGTTCCGTGCCTTAATCTCATCGTAGATTTCGCATAAGTCATCCACCACACCCTTTACCGTTATTCCATGTCCTGTTGTCTTGATCCTTCTCAGAACATTCTTCTTCACTTCATGATACACTCCGAGTTCTCCTTCCTTCTTCGGCATCTTCTCGAGAAGGTCCTTGATGTACTCTTCGTCCGATATCTTGAACCCGTCCTTCGCTAGCTTCTTGCGTTTCACGTCGAGTCCAATCTCGAACTTCTTTGGGTTCTCCTTGATGTCCATCTTTATCGCGTAGTATTCCGTTCGTCGAGCTGCCACCTCACCACTGTCTTCAGCATCGTAGAGGTCCAGCATGGACTCCCACATGCCCTTGAATTTCCCAGCAGCATGGTCAGTCGTTTGGTGTGAGGCCAGTAGGTCGAAGGCGACTTGCCCTTCGATGGTCTCCACATTGATCGAGTCCAGCAGTATTCCAGCAGCCTTGCTGTTCTTCTTCTGCAGACTTTCGACCTTTTCCACTTCGTCGTCCGACAACTTGCCTGTACCTGTAGGGTTTTCCCAGTTGTCCGGCTTGATCTCCGTAGAGTCCTTCATCAGTTCTACGTACCCATACTTTGATAAATGGGCCATCATCTTGACCTTGTAGAACCTGAACTTCTCATCTTTCCCATCGAAGATGGGATACTTGCTCGACGATGATACCTCTACCTCCGTAGACATCTTGACTTACTTCTCCAACTCTTCTCTTTTCTGTTTGACAACCTGGATCCAAGCTCACTCTTTCCTGATAGCTATCGTTTTAAAACGTGTTGAAAAGGTGTGAACTTGAACGCACAATTTCTCTAATTTAATCAATATCCTTCCAGCTCTACTGTCTAGTAGACTGGCTATTCGTTTCGTTTTCTCTTTCTCTCTCGTTCAGATTGTGAGCTCTTAGACTGAGCTCCGATATGCATACATATACCAGGATCTTTTGATCCTGTGCTTCTCGCAATTTCATCTACAGATAGATCTCGTCGATCTATCTTCCTGAAGTGCATGGTTGGCCCTGGAGGGGCTTTCCCACTTTACTAAACCTGTGGACCTTCATCCGTCCATTCATTTGCTCCGTCCCATCGCTCCTTGCATTCGTCTCTTCGACCTAACTTCCTAACCTTTGTAGTTGCATCATCTAGATGACCATTGTCCTCGTTCCTCGTACACCTGGCCATCTGATGATGATCGGATAACCATCTGATTTGAGTCACACATCCTTAGTCGCTAACCGTGACTGCGGATCCCGAGTCGTCTGTCCGTCATACGAAAATACCTTTCTAACAGAATAAGCCCAAAATGTTACTACTGTAACACACCCTAGGAAACGCCCCATCCCCTATGGAGGACAGACTTCCACTAGGGGAAATGCCCTCAGATCCTTAGAGTCACAAGCGGGATACAAAGGAAACACCCACCAAAACATGTAACACGGTCTGTATACACTAGTGGCAGCCCGTGTTACGTAGTTAACCCAAATTTATGTTACAGCCCTTAAATCCAATGCCGATGGCATCCTCGGATTACATCCTTTTTTCCTCACAAAATAGATTGATCGAAGATCCTTCTTCTTTCATTTCTTCGTTCCACGCTGGAGTTAACAGCGACCATGGCCGAACGGAGCCCTTTTTCAGAGGATGAAGAAGAACCACCACCACCACCACCACCACCACCGCCGCCGCCGCCGCCGCCGGATGATGAAGAGGGATGGCGCTATCCACGGAACCACAAGCACCAGTTTTATATCTGCGAAATGATGAGCCACAAGGACGGACGGATTGAGAACAAGTACCATCGAAACAAAACCTTCTCCAAGGCAGAGCTACTAGCTGTTAAGCCCCACCATGTGGCTCGATACTTGGAATGGAAGGCTTATGGGAAGATTAATCCAAGCGAAGATGATCGTCCGACCAAAGCCAGAGCAGGGTCCTTGAAAAAGTACAAGGGCGCAATTTCACATTTTATGGTTAACAAGCGTGTATCCTGGGTTGAGTTCCCCAATGGTACCGCCGCAGGCAATCCAACACGATCCGATGCAGTGCTGGATGTAATTAAGCGAGTTGAGCTACACGAGACTCGAGATGAAGGTGTGGATGCAAATGATAAGAGAGCTTACAGCCATGCTGAATTCTTGAAAATCCTTGAGCTGTTCCGCCGCCAGGCTGATTTCAACCACAAGTACAAGTATGTGGCAATGACGCTATGGGCAAACCACTTAATACACCTGATTGATGACACTGCCCATTTCAAAATCAGCACCCCACATGGCAATCGCGAGTTTCCTTTCACTATAAAGACCAAGACATCATGGAGTAAGAATGTGAAAACGCAAAAGAACTGCCCTGATCAAATCATGATGGCCTCTGCCAACTGGGAAACATGTGTCATTCTGAACTACGCTGTATATTTGGAGCAGTGGCTTGGCATGTACCCAAACGCAGTCTTCATGTGGACTGAGAATGATGACAAAGTGAAAGGACCCAAAAATGTGAAGAAGCAATACGGCAACAGGATTGAGATTGTCTGTTTCAACCATGATGAGTTCAAAGCACTGTACGACGAGACTGGAGAAGATGCCGACAAAGGATTGGGGACTCACAGTGGTCGAAAGTACTTCGTACGAAGGGCAAAGGCAGGTGGAGCACACAGAGAACAATGCGAGTTCCGTGGTCGGTGGATTGTAGACACAAACCACAAGGTCGTGGACAAGCACTACTTTGGAAAAGAAGATCCTTACACGGATGCACTGGTGGCCTCTATCCAGTGTGAAGGAGGTACCATTAGGTACAAGCTCAAGGAGGGAATTGACATGGATGACAATTGGTTGATGTTCAGTTGCATCCCCAATATTATGGATTCCAATCGGTTCCAGACGGATAGCAGAATTCGCAAGGTGCTAGGATTGGCTACTCTCTGGGCTTGCTTTGATCCAGCGGCATCAGAATACCTTCCACCTGGTACGTCTACTATTGACTCTGATTGTTTGTATACTACTGTCAACTAACAGCCTTCTTTTCCAGAACAAGTCGACAGGGTAAGAACCAATTTTAATACTACCTTTCCAGATTTCAATGAGAATCCAGTGGAGAAAGTTTCCATCAAGGTGGTGGTTGTGAACCGGTCCCTGGACATTGTGGACGTAGGAAACCAACAACAAGAAGCAGCTGCAGCCGGTGTAGCCAATGGAAACAATGGAAACAACGCGAACGGTGCCAATGGCAATGATATGGAGACTCTGGTTGGCTACGTACGTCGGCTGGAACAAACCAACCAAGAGCAGTTGCAGGCTATACGTGCACAGCAAGCTACTGATAGGCAATGGATGAAGGCGCAGTTCGATAGAGTGGTGAACAACCAGAGAAGATTTGGTGGTACTATTGAGTCAGCGTTCCAGAGGCAAGATCCAGGTCGGCAAGCTAGAAATCGACAGCATGAACTGGATGAGAGGGAAGTCGAACAGCAAGAACAGGAAGAACAGCAACAGCAACAGCAACAGCAACAGCAACAGCAACAGCCAGCTGCAAGGAACCCAGCAGCACGTCGAACTCGAACTCGCAATGTCCCAGCCACTGCACAGATGAAGAAGAATCTGCGCAGTCTCATGGAGCTGTGGGTTGAATGGTCTGTTGGCTACTTTGGTAAGGCGGCAAAGGACTTTACCAATGATGAGAGGAACAAGGATGGACCAACAAAGCAGATGTACATGAGGAGACTCAAGATCTGGAAAGTGCAAGCTTATTTGGTTGCTAATGGCCACACTATTGAAGCAGCCAACGAAAAGATCAAGACATACTACTACACAGACAGTCCCACTACCCTCTCTGGTGCCATCAAGCGGGATCAACGCAATCCAGAATTGAGGTTCATTCCCTCTGGGATTCGCGTGCGCAATGGCATCCATTTGAATGGGAATGGACCACTCGGCAATGACCTTGGTGGCATACTAGCTTGATTGGCGACTGTTGGAGTTGTTGGCGACCGTCTTTTGTTGGTCGTGTGTCGCCATTGTTGTGAGCTTCGCCATCGCCATTTTTGTCATTGCGTCTCAGACGCCTCAGACTTAAGATATAAGCCACTTTGTGAGTTATTGTGAGGTGAGTACTTGTACGTGTGACGATGGTACATACATACGTATGTACATGCATGGTACATTGTCTACAGTAACACTCATGGTACTATCTTTGTCTCTTTCCTCTCGAAGAAGAGACCTCCTTGACAAGAAAAGGATCACTTCGAAAAACAACAATCAGTGCTACAGCTACAGTTGGATTCATTGAATTTCATTGGCATTTTGAGGTGGTTTCAAGGCCCATTTTGAAGCCTAAGTCAACAACCTTCTGGTCAATTTGGATACTTCCAAGCTTCATCACAGTGACAAGCACCTTCAGGTTGACAATCTACCAGTCTACAACCCCAACAGGCAGCCCGTCGTCGCCCCAAAGGAACCTAGATACCTTCCTCATCATCGACGACGGCAACAACCACACGGAGCTAGCACGAAGCAAAGAAGTTCGCGAAAAGCAACCAATTTACTCGAAAGAAGCTATTAATAATAGCTGGAGTAACGGAGCACACGAGACTTATTGGTTTTGCACCTATCTTGACAATCGTGCAAGTCTTTTACGTCCGAAGAAGCCTGGCTTATCTCTTTGGAACTCGGGCTTATTCCTTTCAACTCAATTCAGCGATTTACACGGAACGTTCCAAGCCAATCAGATCGCCCGTGCAGTTTCGAGTGTCACAATTTTCCGTCCTATACCGTATCAGTGATTTCACGGAACGTACTTGGCTTCCAGGACGTTCTTTCGAAAAGTCGCTCAGCCAATCAAAACGTCCGTGCAGGATTCGAGAGTTCCGTGAAAGTTTGGTACTTATCACAACGTGCACTGAGTCAGTTTGTGAGTTCCTTTTCGATCCTGGATCTCCAAAGACTTATACGTCCAAGGTTCCCCGTACCGAAAGCAGGCCCAGTTTCATAAACTGGATCCGCCTCACATTTCAAGCGATTTACGGGTATCCTTCGTCGAGTCATTGAATTCCGTGAACTCGAGATCGCGATCTTCGATTCGAGTAACTCGCAGAGCCACGAGACGCCCAAGAGGTTAATTCGCTTGGCTGAAAGTGTTACCAGGGGATCCGCCATCCTTTGTTTAGTCAGTGGGTATCTCACCTTGGATTTTGGAAGCTTTTGTGGGGAGATTCATTGGTCCCAGTAAGCTAGCTTCCAGGGAGGCAAAATCTCACAAATCCAAGCCAGTTTGCAGCACCACAGCAATTCAGGAAGCAGGTTCCAGACCCTTTACCTGGTCCACCTTATTCCAACAGACATAGATTGAATTTCGAAGACCCCTAGCAAGGTCCCAAGAAGTCATCTTTGTGGTTTCCAGATTACAGTTGAGTCAAGGTTTATTGTACTGCTACAACAGCTGAATTTCACTGTTTCCCAGGTACAAGCTACACTTCTTCCTGTGGCAGATGGATGACAAGAGGCACCATGTCACTCTACATACCCACAGTGACTCCTCCACCATCACGGAAGGCCTCGAAGGCTAGAGAACCAAGGAAACAGGCTAGCCCAAGAACAACCAGCCACACTTCCCATACAATCCGGGAGGATACGGTTCAGGCCATCATGAAGAGTCTGGATGAGCAGCACACCTCTATCCAAGCCCTTGGCACTACCCTTGATAGTCTCATTGAAGAGCGACAGTGGTGCATTCATCAGCTGCTTGACAAGTCCCTTAGTCGAAACCTCGAGAAGATCAACGGAAAGGCAGCTGCCCTCAGGCAGAAAGCAGCCACCTCCAGGACTAGGAGGCACAACTGGTACCACGCATCTCCCAAGCGCGATTGTGGGGAGTTGCCTGCCACTAGTGTCCAGCCCACGCAGCGACGACTGGCAGAGGCCCTCTTTGCTTCCAACAACAACAGCAATGTAGCCACAGCACCACCTACCGGTATTGGCGGCAGACCTGAGAACTCCCAGCATCCAGCTCCCAAGCCAGACTGCTGTGGGAAGCTACCTGTCACTTCCTCTTTGATCGGTACCACAACCAACTACCAGCCACAGCCAGCTTGTGGAGAGCCGCCAGCCACTCGTCCTTTGCGAGTTACAGCGGCGAACAACCAGCTGCCCAATGCCACTCCCTTGGTTGCTCCAGTGCAACCTTTTGCCCTTGCTGGTGCTCCCAATGCATCACTGGGTGATGGGGAGATTACAGAGCTGCCTACCTTCAGCTCCAGTAGTCACCCAGCTTCTACATTGGCTTATGGGGAGGCTAGTACTGTAGCCCACAGCAACAACGATTCTAGCAGGACAATTCCATCATTCCAGGAAGTCCCACCTGTAATCAATACCATGGTTGTCCCTTCCAAGAAGGACCGCACGTCCTTTGTTCGACAGACGATCAACCAACCACATGTTGGATGCCCACGGTTTGCCCACCAAGGCGACACCCAAGGCAACCAACTCGGTTCTAGCAGAACCACCTCTCTTTGGTACTCCCAGTGCCACCAGGCTCTGCCAAATGAGAGAGATCCCTTTGCAAGCAAGTGCACACCCAAAGCAGGATGCTCTCAAGCAGGCAGCTTCTAGGGCAAGTGCAACAACCAACCTTTGCTGGAGATCCAAGTGTCCACCATGTCGAACGACACCAAGGAATCCCAGCTTGGTCCATCCTGGACCACCTCTCTGCGGTACTCCCAATGCCACTAGGCTGTGCCGAATGAGAGGATTCCTTTGGCAGCAATGCCACCCAGTCGACCATCCCTTTGTCGACAACCACGACCACTGTCTGACAGCAGCTACAATGTCACACCACAGGATGAGTCCAAGGTTCGAACCACCATGGTCTCAGTCTCCCATGTCTCCAAGGCAAGGGGGAGTTCCCCAGTGTTTGGCATGTGGTTCTATCATGCAAATACAAATAAGGCTCTTAACCTTATTCGTGACTCGTTCCTAGATAGGTTTTGAGTGCGACTCATGACTGATTCTATCGTGAATAGTCATATGAGACAGGGTTCTCAATGACCCCGCTAGTCATACTAGGTTGATGATGAAACATCGCTCTTGATATTTAGTCAGCGTGGAGTACTCCCACGCTATTAGATCCATGCTAGACAAATCTTTCCCGCGTTCCGTTTTAGGATCGTGGAGAGACGTAGGATTGCTTACTACCACAACCTACTCTATCACACTTTATAGTCTCCCGCGGGAAGCCAGATCTACAATCCATTGATGATGATCCTCTTCTCGTTGATTAGTTTCATAGCTTTCTAACATCTCTACCTCATAACTTTCATTCTCTTCAAACTCCAAAACACTCGAAAGATCTTTACACTAGCCTTTTAGCGTAGTGCATTTTTTTAACAAACACAATAGCTTCAGCTACCCTCAACCCATTCCTCACCAAGAAGATGGCTGCAAGGAAAGCATGCGTTCCGCTACTTTGAGAAACAGTTGCCTGACAAACCCATTCTTCCTCTCGTCGACAATGACGAAGAAAAAGAGATCGAAGATACTCGTGCAACCAATTGAAAACTTCGCAACCATTTTGTCAAGCGCAAATCAGAAGAGTCTGACAATGAGGACAACAATCCTCTTATCAATTGCACTCACTTGGATGAGAAATCTCTATCTGAGGATTAAGTTCCATTGGATTAGATGACATGATCCAGGACAGAAACCGGAACCACTGTTCCGGAAATTTCTCATACCAGAAGTGATGAAGGATAATCTCACTAACTAGATAAAAGTCAAGAATTTTTGCAAATCGATGAAACTCTACGGCCCAAATGTAGAATGTATTGAGCCTAGAAGCTGCCTCAGACTAGACTTGAATGGATCTATTTTAGCAAATCGTTACGCAGAGGCGTCGTCCGTGGAAAACCACCTCGTAAACGTCGCAAGACAAGAGACTCAAAACTATCGTCTATGTTAATTTTAACAGACGAGAAAAAAGGAAACAAAAACCGTTAACAGAGTAGCTCCGGTGCTCGTACTTGGATACAAAG